AGGGGAGGGCGGGAGGGGTCAGAAAAGGTAAGTTGTCCGAAGCAACGGTACATGACCGGCTTATCGGCACGAAAATCGATACAAGGATTCGCTTGCGCGAACGGTGAACGGTGCGCGCCCGTCAGGCCGAATCGGCGTCTCGCTCCGTTTTCTGCCGTACTCTCTCGCGCCCGGGACAAAATCGATGAGAAATTAATATCCGGCGTGTCGATGGGTCGTTAACGCTCGGCGACCGGAGTTGAAATAATAATGGACATCGTACACACTGAATAACGCGCGGCCAGTCGATCCACTACGGTGCTTAGGCGACGTGTGGAGAAGAAAGAGAGAGAAAGAGGGGGACGGGGGGGGGGGCCGAGAGACGATGAGAGAAATAGGGAGAAAGAAGCTATCGCCACCTTCTTGACAGTGACAAATGGACGGAGATTTCAATCAGTGAATGGAATCACCACTGGCTAACCGCGTCTTTCTCTTACCACACCAGTCAGTCGGCCCCGTGAGTTCTTTTTTCCTTTCTTTTTCCTCACGTCCGTATGGGTGTATGGGCGCGCAGTGCCGCGTGTGTTGAAACACCGTACACACCCGGACACACCTCAACCTGCTGCTGTCGCGTTGGTGACCGAACGGACGACTCCGGTCCAGTCTCGCGTTTAACTCCTCTCTCTCTCTCGAGAAAGAGAACGAGATCTCCTTCCTAGCTGGCTCCGGATTAACCTCAAGATGGATACCTCCGGCAGAGTCGTAAGAGGAATAGCGTCTCCCGTAAATTCCACGGAAATTACACGCGTCGCATCACGAATGAGCGACTCGCCGGGGATTTGTCGCACCCGGATACAGAATCGCGCGCAGAATTATCGCGTCGATTACAATGGGATCGCGAATGAGGAATCGGCCCATTATACCCGAGCACGACGACCGTGAGCCTCGGAGTTGTTTGTGGCGTTAGGAGGAAAGAATCGCGCGGACGCGACGGGGAACGTTACGTATGCGACTCGCGAGCGAGCGATTCGTATTGGCGCGAATGATAGAAAAGCAGCGGTTATCCGCGATACTCGAGGCGATCGTTAAAGCGTCTTGGGAGCGCCGAGGAATCTCCGTCTCATTCGCGGCCGTGGGTAAAAGGAGGGTCTAAATGGCTGTTCTCTCGTTTCTCTACAAACGATTCGCGGGATTCATCTCCAGGGCTTACCCCTCGCCGTTCCGCGCGCCATTCTTCTCCTCCTCGCCGCGAGTCTCTACCGAGGAGACGGTGGTGGTGGTGGTGGAGGAGGAGATATCCCGTAACGTCGCCGTGCGAGCACGAGTCCTCGAAAGGTTATCTGATTCGTCGAAATCGTAAAGGAGCCGGATCGCTCTCCTCGCGAAAATACATTTCCCACTTTCCTCCCCTCTCAGCCCGTCACGCTCCTCTCAGACCGACGTCGGGCTGAGGAGAGAGAACAGTTGGAGCGAAGCGCGGGTTACCCGAGGAGTCCTTCCCCGTCGTCTGCGCCCGATGGCGGTGGGAATCCGCTCGACAAGATCGAAACTATCGGCGGCTGCCGGATAAAGTGCGTATCAGCCTTTACCACCGTCGACACGGAGAGGACGGAAATCGACCGCCTCGGTTTTCTCACTTCTAATTCGCTTTATTGCAACACATAATCGAACGAGTGGGTGAAGTAACCGACGACGTTCGTTACCGCCGGGCGCGTTATATCATTGATAATCTCCGCGGCCGACGGCCGCGGATAAAATACACGCGAGACGAGACTCGAGAGGCGTTGGTAGACGGACGGCGAGGAACACGAGGTGTAAAATCAATCCTCGAGACGTTCGTCACTGCGAGGAAGGTGGCGATGAAGGCTCGAGAAAGAAAGAATCACCGGCCAGGCGAACCGAAGTGAACGTATCGGCTGCGACGCATCCGTCGTCGTTGTCTTTGTAGAATGCCACGACGGACGCGAGCAGAAAGGCGGCGTGGAGGAGGGTGGGCTCGAAGGGGATGAGGCGGAGGAAGAGGGTCGTCTTTTCGGAGGGAACCGGGTGTTAGCCCGTACTCCCTTATCTCGCTGCGATCTGATCCTAATTTATAGCCGCGTTCCAAATAAACTAGTTTTCGCTGTCGTCACCTCGCCTCCTCCTCTCCCGCGCGCGTGTGTGTGTGTGTGTGTATACTATATATCGTGTCGGTGCGTTCGCAACTTGGACGCGCTTATAATGCTACCCTCTCTCCACCTCCTCCTGCACTTCTCCTCTCTTTTCCTTGCATCCTCGGCACCCGCTCCATTCGGACCATCTCGATCTCTGCCTCTTTCCCTCTTCGCCTTTCCTGTCGCGCGGAGCCAGGCAGCGGACAGGTATACGAGAGTGTGAGTCGCGCAGGTCGCACGAGACAGTGCCTTTTGTAGCACCTACCACCAAGTAGACCCGATCTCTCCTCTCCTCTCATCTTCTCTTCCCTTCTCTTTTGCTCTCCGATCATCGCAGGGCGAAAAAACGCAGAGGGGAGAAAGGAAGGAGCGAAACACAAAGAGAGAGAGAGAGAGAGAGAAGAGTCTTCGCGAAGAAGCAAAGTCCGCCCAATGACACTGTCTCGTGCCTTATAATTGGCAATTAGCGCGCGGATGTTTAATTGCCATTAAAATGGGTGGTGGAGGTGAGGATCACGGGCCTTGGCTCTTCGCCGCTCGGACCGGAACCCGCTTTCTAACCATCGTCGCCTCCTGACTAGCCGGATATTTACACGATCTCACGGCATCTGCATAAAATTCGAGACCACCGTGCGCACTCGTGATCCGCCTCGCAGGCGAGAGGATAGGCGATCTTTTTAACGGCTTCAAGATTCCAGACGGGGGATTCAGGTGTCTCCTTAATAAATCCTCGAACACGTCGTCGCGGTTTCCCGCGTCTTTTTCGTCTCTTCCTCTCGCGCACTCTTTCTCTCTTTCTCTTCCTCTCTCTCTCTTTCTCTCTCCCTCTTTCACTGTCTCTCGCCCTGGCCCTCTCTCTCTCTCTCTTTCTGTTTCTCTTTCCTGGAGAGACCTCGAAGAAGGCCTACCGTTGCCGGTGCTTCTTTGAGAAACGCGCGCGTTTCTGGAATTCCCGGGCCTTCGGCTGTGTTTCATCGGGCGACACACGCTCTGCTGCTAGCTCGCACATATGCATACCGTGTGTCCTTCTTTGTCCTCGACCTCTATTTTCGGGACGCGAGTTCGCCACTCGGAGTGTTTATCACGCGTAACGACCGCCGCGCGGTAAATCGTGAGAGAGAGAGAGGAGTCCTCAGGGTCGAAACGGTAGCCCGGATTCGCGTTCTCGGATGCGCTGGACGATTTCTTCGTCGCTACCTGGGAGTAATCGGAGAGCACCCACCTGAAAAAGAGAAGGAGAGAGGGGGGGGGGAGACACGTATCCCACTCTTTCTCTCTCGATTCCGACGCGAGGCGAGGCAAAGCGTGTCGCTATCATTCACAATTTCGTGACTTGGATCGCGCTGGCGCGGATGCAAATGTTATCGATTGGGAATAAAAATGCAGCTCCGACGGTGAGCGAGCGAGCGGGAGAGGCGCGCCGGCCGCTCTCTCCGGAGTCCGCGCGAGTCGAGCCGACTGGCGTTAATTCTGAAACCGGCTAGATAGACAGTCGGGAGATGGTATCTCGGCTTATTAAAAAAAAAAGAAAAATGTGCGCTCGTGTGCGCTCTCTCGCTGTTTACTCGCTCGTTCGCTTCGCTGCGATGATCCCCGTGTGTACGCGCGAAGGAACCGCGGCTGAAGAGATGGACGGCTCGTTATCCTTACGCCCTTACGCCATTACCGTATAAATAACGCGGCGATTCGCGTACGCTTAACGGGGGATTACTAATAAAGTTATAAACTAAACAGGGTCCCCCGCTCTCTTTCTCTCTCTCTCGCTCTCACTCTATTCTGGAAGTATGCACGTTATAATTAAATCATTATGGGGGCCGCATATGCGCCCCGCCGCCGCGATCACGTTGTTGAGTTTCCGAGGAAATATAATTCGCGTCGATTACGCGCGCGGAATGTTTTGCCTCCTTCCACGAGGAGGTAAAAGTACCGGGTAATGTAAGGCGAGCTACGCTGTCTCGCGGCGCATGAGTTATTATTAAAATTCCCCGCAACCGGTGCTTTCGTTGAATTAATGATTGTTTGATGTTTATAATTTCATGCCGCGGCTGTCTTCTGCATTATGCAAGTTACTCGATGTTGCCGGCCACGCGAGACCAGCGTAATAATTACACATCGGCATTACGGAGCGCGCGCGTTCGCCGCATACGACGATATCCGGGGGATCAACCGGGGGAGGGGGGAGGGAATTCGAGCGACGAAATTCGCGTTTACGGCTCGCGGATTTCGTCGTCCGCTTCGCGTTCCTCTCTCCTCGGGGTCTCGTTCTATGAAACGCGTAATATCGCGCGCCGAGATCGACGCCGAGAGATCTCTCCCCGGCGAGGATCTTCTCTCTCCCTGGCGTTCGCGTGAAATTACAACGTCACGTCTCTCGGCCGATCCTCGCGAGCGGGAAAGGGAGACAGAGGGACGAATTCTCTCCCCGTAATCGACGCGATTCTCGCAGCGATTGTAAATAAATTACTGTCGCCGGGGCCGCACGTAGCTCATCCGCACAGTGAGCTCTTCGCGACTGAGATCTTAATCCGAATCTCCGCGAACGGTATCCTTCGGCGAACGGCCGTCGAACGCAAATTTACTTATCTCATGAGGATATCATTGGAATATAATGAATCCGGCGGCTTATAAATTATCGGAGGACGCGAATTCGAGAACCGTTTCACGGTTACGATAGCGGAGCGGACGACAGAGAGCCCGACGGTTCTACCCCGCGGTTCTACCGTGTTTCATAACGTCACTCTTTCGGGACATCCGTTAGAGATAGTGGAGAATGGATAAACAGGTTTCTACGAAGGGTCAGGCCTGGCCGAGGAATGGACAACGGATGTAAGTAGTCTCGCGTTTATAAAAAGAAAAGACGCCTCCTTCGCTCCGCGCGGCCGTCCGGCCGGCTACGAGTTAACGAGAGAGGTATATGAGTCGTGTGAGAGATGATGATCGAGCAATTACACTATCTCTTCTTCTTCTTCTTCTTCTGCGCCTGAAGCCCGAAGTTCTCGCGAGGAAATTTGTCATTCCCTGCCAACGTCTCGTCGATACCCAAGGCGAAATAGTTTCCTCGGTGCGTCATCGTTGCTGCGAGCGCAAAGTTTCGCGATCGCGCCACCTTCCCTTCCGCATTATCGAATAAAAGCCGGCGAGAGATCAGCCGACGTCGATAATAATAATAATGACGATAAACGTATACGTGTGTGTATGTGTGTATACGCGCGCGCACGCCCCGCCGTGAGCCCGTTTTTTATCGTCCAGATAGATCGCTAGGAGTTTCGTAACAATGCGCACGCAGAAACGGGGACGCGAGTCGCGACCGCACAAATGATAATCGTAAATGTTTATTGCCGGCGACGCTCCCGCTGGAAACCGGCGGTGTAACATCCAGATGTCACGCGGCAGAACTTTCAAAACGACTTGCCGCATAATCGCGGGACATTTGTCATCCGGAGCGACGGCGCGTCATTTCGTCGCAGTCCGCTGGACGAACAGCGACAGCGAGAGGGAAGGAAAGAACGAACGGACGAACAGTGATATAGGGGGTAGAAAGAAAGCACGACGGAACAAATAGACAGACAGCCCTTACCACGGCGTTTCGAAATATCTGCCGCGAATTCGGTGCCGACGTCGTTCCCGAAACGTCGCCGCCAAATGGATATTGGCGTATCGTTTAATCGCGCAACGCGGAAATCTCCCCGGCGGCGTTATCGCGCATCATCGTGCACCCGTGTCCGCATAATTGTTCGGCGAAACATGGCTAATTCGAACGTAACGGCGACGATGTATCGAGCATCGATCAGCGTCACTCGCGGATGTGATGTGTAACTCTTTCGGACAGCGAGAATGCAACCGACTCTACAATTTCTTCTTAATTCCTTTTACGATTCACTTTTGGACGTGTAGGTGTGAACAGAGAAAGCAGAGTAGAGAGAGAGAGAGATACTTCGTTCCCAAAAAAAAATAAATATATAATAATCAGGAGGTGAGGAATTTTTTTATCGGAAAATATACTTTTATTCAAATATTAATAGTATAAAAATATATAAAGAAGTAGTATATAGAATATAAAGTTTGGTTGGATCCACCTAATAAAGGACAGTCGAAAGAGTTACGGTCGAAGGTAAGAAAATGTCTCGTTTTCTCGTGAAGAAAATTAGGTTCTTGTAACTAAAAATCTCGTTTCCTTCGACGATGTCGCGTTTGATTATCTATTGGTCAGATCGGTCCAACCAAATTCATTTTTCAGCGTGTCCCGATGCAACATTGCAACTTTTCGAGACGTTTGCATGCTGACGGTATTTTGGGAAAGTTGTATTTTCGTCAAGATATTCGGATTTCGGGACTTTTCGAGAAAACTTCCTCCCGCAGTTTATCCACTTTGAGATCTCGAGACAATGCATGTCCACTCCGTGTAAAAGCCCGAAAAAAGACCCGGGGGAAAAAGATACCTCCTCGTTCCACATTGCTTTGCATGTTCGTATCTCTATGGTTTATTCACGCGATGCTGCGGGGACTGCTATGCGTCCATCGATCGTGCGCGTTGCCAGCGACGCCGTTCGACGCGAAAAGCGTTCCTCACCTTCGAAAAGTTTCCCCGGGGTTTGACACATGCACGCACACGAACGTGATAATATCGGCGAACTTTCGATCGGAATCGCACTGAAGGCAATCGTGACTAGCGTGCCTTTATCTCGCGCGATCCTCATAAACAGCAACGCAGGAGACTGCGGGAGGGCCACGGGTATCGCTCATACCGGCGATTTGCGCCTGTAGCGTACGTCGAACTTGTTCACCGGAAGAGATGTGGTAATCTGGAATCGATACGTGCACGATACTGAAACGTAGCCGATCCGTATTCTGTACGACCGCCGTACACATGTAGCGAGGCCCCTAATGGCCCGCGCGGGATCTCCGATTTAGATCGCGCTAATTTTATCGGCTTCAGAAATGGAAATTGCTTGTTGCCGCGAATGTTAACAGAAAGTGCCGCATAAATCCGCTCGCTCGCGCGATTAAATCAAACTCTTTTCGTCCATTAAGAGATAACTCGCGCTAACCCCCGCCGCTCCCCTATATTTCGTAGATTCGGGATTTACGATTCTGTCGATTCCGCACGGCGGGTGCCGTTTCTCGCATAATTCGCGTGTCGAGCGGTCTAATGTGCCGGGCGAAAATAGCCGGCACAATTGCGCCCGGATAGTTTACGGCCGGTATGAGGCCGGGCGAAGAGAACGATACGCGCGCGCGCCGCTAATGGCCGGCTGAGTGGCGTGTTTTGCATAACGATCGCCTTTTATCTAGCGTGGCACGTGGTGCTTTATCGTTTATTAACACTGACAATCGCTGTCGCGGTATCGCGGAGAGGGACGATTATCCGTCGACAACGCGCGCGCGCGCGCTGCTCGCGCTGAAATAACGCTTGCGCGTGCGCTGTAATCAGCGGATTGGCACAATCGGTGTAACCGATTGCGACGAAGAGAGAAAAAGAGAGAGAGAGACTGTAGATCCGGCATACCGATCGTCGTCCACTCCGGGACACGGTAATCGGCGAGTACATCGATAGGCGCGCAAACGGCCGCGTTGTCGATTCCTACCGGACGTATGGGCGCTCTAACAGCGTGCTAACGGCCGGATTACGAGTTCACGAACGTCCACGGCATTTTCGACGCGGGTATCGCGAACCGTTCACGCAAACCGGTCGCGAGCGGTCAGCCCCGCGCTTCTCGTCGTCGAACGGGTTATAATTGCTGGGTGCAATTGTGTCGTGGCCTTATCAACCCGGTAATTCTTGCAGAAGCGAGTTGCTATTGAATACGTCTCGATAACCCCCAACCACCTCGGTCGTCGCGGCTCATTAGGGCGGGTTCGAGAGCCACTAAACATGCGCGCGCGTCGTTTATCGTTTAACCGCGTGGAAAGTGCGCGATACATGTCTAATTATAATCCTCAGGCGGTACGTGACGACGCCTGACGTGTGCACATGTCGCGTGCGCGCGAAAGAAAGAGAGAGAGAGAGAGGCGCTTCCACTCTCGCGGAACAAAAGGGCACACGAGGCCGGCGGCCGATCTAAGACCATCTTCATTTCTCTGTTGCAGGATAAAGCGGCGCCGTTGAGGAAAGGTCCTGCGAAGGAGGTCCTGCGGCCGGACTGTAAATACGTGCTCCTGAGTGGTCTCGGGATTTATTAGCGTTATCTCGAGCTCGCGCGTCAGACGCGAAGAAAGAAGGAAGCGCGGAGCGCACTAGCGGAAGGGAGAAGGAGAGAACGGAGCGGGGAGAAAAGGGTAGAAAGGGTTTGGGAGAGGAAGGGTGGATGGAGGGCAGTTGACTCTTCGGGATACATAAATCGTCCCCCCCCCCCCCGACCTCTGGAAGGAAACGCGACCGGGAGAAGACGTATATGGGGGGCGGATAGAGCGGGCGCTCGCGCGAGGGGCGCGGCAGGAGGAGGAGTGGGCGGCGGCAGCTTAGGGGAGATTTAGGAATTAGGAGAATTACGTCAAAGTGCCTGCTTACGCACGGCTACGTACGGCGAGGCGACACCGCGAGCTCGGGTGTGTGAGAGGAAAGAGTATGAGGGACCGGCAACGCGGGAGGATTTATGTCCGAGGCTCGCGCGCGTTTCTCCCGGTAAAAAATTGGTTCGTCGCGACCGAGCGTAGCGGAGAGTATGGCCGCTATTTCCGAACGGTTACTGGTTATCGTAACCGCACCGTGCCTGCCGACGGGCTTTCTCTAGGAGGAACGACAGCGGGAAGAAGTGCGAGCAGCGGCGATGCGCGGGTCCACCTTGTCGCTGAGGCACGCTCAGGTGGAGGTAAATGTTTTCGGGATACACCTGGGTCGAGAGAGTAAGAGATGAGGGATGAGGGGGGAGGGGAAGAGAGAGAGAGAGAGAGAACGGTCGTACGATTTCTCCGCCGACGATCTTCGGTGCCCGGATACCATCGGTGCATCGTTTCCACGTATACACATGCATGTGTATATACATAATACATACATAGACACACAGGCGCGCAACACATGTACCGTCTACACGTCGCGATGTCGCGAATTAATCTCTTCCTTTCCTTTTCTCTTTTAGTCAACACACACCATTCAGTTCGGTCGTTCGGTGTCTTTGGCAAGAGCGAGTTCCCGCGTGCGCGCGTAGAATCCTCGATTCTGTAAATAGGAGAGACGAGAGGCGCCGATCGTGCTTCGAGAAGCTGCGCCGACGGCGTCGCAGCATCAACGGAGATTGTACGCGCGTACACACACACGTACACACACACACACATATATATATGTACGTGACACGTGTATATAATACACTTGCCGGTAGAAGGGCGAGTCGTTTTCGAGATCCCATTATACCGCCGGTCGATCTGTCCGGTTTGCCCGTTTCGACGGGACACGGAGTCAAGCGGGACCGGCTGGAGGACAAACGACGCGCCTCCTTCGAGATCGCGAGCGGATACCAATCGCGTATTCACGGGCAACGTGCAAGTAAGCAAGCTAGCAAGCAACCGCTGGCTCCTTCGTTACAGAGGAAGTAACGAGGTACCCTCCATCTAAGAACGGTCATCGTTCGAAATCGCTCGTGGTAGCTCAGTGGGGTGATTTCGACGAGACGAGGAACGAGGTTCGGGTGAAATGTTGCGCCCGAAGTCGCGCGGTACCACCAGAATCGTGAGATACACAAAGAACAAGAGGGGGAGGGGAAAGAAAAATACAGAGAGAGAGAGAAATACTTGATTTACCTGCTGTAAGTTTAAGGCGAAAATAAAGGAAAGACAGATCGCATAGCGTACTACAAAGCTACTATCTTTAAACTACCACTAACTCCTTTAACTATCCGAATGAAATATTAACGTATACCCGACATACCCGCATATAGAGATGGAATGATAAATAATGCACACCTACGCATCACACACACACACACACACGTTGACACGCGAGTTAACTCTAGGCCGTAGATCTTAAGGCTGTACCTACTACATCACGAAATTTTATCGGGGCGGCGTCTCGAGAGTCCCCGCGGAAAGAAGGAGAGAAAGATACCCGCGCCGCAGAGTATACTATATTCTAAGTATAAATACGAATAAATATATAGGAAGGAAGGGAGAGAAAGGGAAGGAGGAAGATCGTACGAGCGGAGAGATGGCGCGTAATAATGATTATCAGCGGCAAGCGGATACGACGGTGGTGCTGCTACGAGGATCAAATTTGTCCTTTTTCGCGCGCGACCGAGCCGTGCACTCGCGCATCTCAACGTCAAATCGGCATACCTCGGCCTATTTTCCGTCTCGGCGCTCTTACTTTCTCTTTTCTTCGTTTCTATCGTTTGTCAATATTGTAGCACTAACTTATGTAATAAGGGGATAATCTTCCCGCTAAAGATAAAAGTGAATAACATCTCGAACACCAACACGCGCAACGTCGTGAGATACTCTTCTCGCGTCGAGCGATCGTTGCTTAGTGCGTAGCGTTATTATAAATTAAAATTCTCTGAAATAATTTTCCAACGAAAATCTTGAAAAGTTACGGACGAGCGGTAGAATTAGTCAATGTTTCGTTTTTAAGGACGTTGATCCTTTCGGTCGCGGAAAATTCGCGCACGCGAGGATTTCGTCGCGTATGCGTTGCAGCACGCGCGCAAGTATCGCTCGAGGAAGTCACGCGAATCGAAATGCGGCAGTGCACGGTGCTCGAAATTGTTGATATTTTTTTATATGAACATGTATGTATATCGCGCGCGCGCGACTTGTACTCTTCTCTTCGAAGGGAAGAGCGGCCGGCGATCGAGCAGGACGCGCGGTGTGTTTCGCCAAACACGATAGTCTCGGGCCGCGTTTCGAAAGAAGAAAACAAAGAGAAAAACGAAAGGAAATATCAGCTATTATTTTGTACTTTGGAGTAACGAGAGTGCGCGCGAGAGTCGGCGGTTTGAGAGTGTGCGAACGCAACTTGTACATTGTTTTGTAAAGAATACATTTATTTATATCTGTGATAACGGGAGAGCGAGAGAGAGAAAGAGAAAGCGAGAGAATGTGTGTGTATATGCAATTTTTCCGTTTAACGGAAGGAAACGACATACACGCAACATATAAACAGACCTACCACACAACACGCACACACACACCCACATATAAGGCGTTTGCGGTATCGGTATACTCTGACGAAGAAGACGGTCGGTGCTCGTGCATTCGTTGACACGTATATCATAGTATAATTATAGATAACGTTATTGTAAATAATCAGGAGAAAAGTAGAGTCGCGAAACGAGGGTCGATTGTGCCGCTTCGCGGGCGGTCTAGTTAACGAGCTGGGATGGAGCGGTAAATAAAAATGAAAAGATTATACATATAAATATACATATAAATATATAAATATAACGCACGTTTTGTGTACATTGTCGCACCCTCGTGAGAGAATCTATTTGTTGTGAATAGTACAGGTAATGACGCAGATATACACTATGACTACTAGGTTTTATTCGCTTGTTCGTACGAATTCGATTGTAAAGTAATTAAAAACTGTACATAGTTCTGAATGTGAATATAAACAGAATATATATATCTATTATTATTGCAATTATTATTATTGACATTATGATTTTATTAATATTATTGTCTAATTATCATATTATATATATACATATATATATATATATAAATTCAAATTATATATATATATATATAAATTCAAATTATATATATATTAAAAGAGAAAGAGTATTACGTTGTACGTGTACGCTTCATACTTTCATTTTCCGTCTACCTCAATCACAGATTACGATGCCAATTTTATTCAGTGTTACTTTTCCTGCCGTACACAGCGTTATTTGCGACGAGAATTTATGAATAAATGACCACTTTAATGTCGTACAGCACGTTCATTGTCGTTTGAAGAAACCCAAGTTTCACCGATATCCTCCTTTCGACGGCGGGGCGACTGCGATCTCGTCCCCCGTTCCGAGAGATTCCCCGACATATGACCGACCGGCGATCGTGATTCCACGACGATCGATACCTCGACCGTGTGTCGAAGGTTAAGCACACCTGTTCGGTACGAATCACCCCTCCCCTCCCTCTCTCCCTCGTCTTGATTTTCGCGGATCGCGCGCGGATTTAAAGGGAGTCACGGACGAGTTGTAAGTCGCAGCACGCGCGCGCCGCGACATAGGAACCACATTGTGCCCATTCTAACGTGCCACAATGGACGTCTCCGTTTTGAATATTCGAACAATGGTACTTTTGCAGTGGGTGGAGTTCCAATGAAAATACATGGTCCGCACGCACGCGTGTGTGTGTGTAAGAGGGAGAAGAGGAGAGATAGAGAGGAGAAGAGGGACGGGAATGAACGGTAAGGACAATGGGTCGCGCTCTGTCCCTCTTTCGCGCGGAGCCGAGGAGAGGATAAACTTTGTGCTCTCGGTGGTAGTTTGCAGCGCGACCGAGGCAGCCGGCTAAGCTCCTCCTCGGAGAGAGATGTGTCTCGCAAACGATAAATATTTCGGGACGTGAATCGGCGATATCGCGGCACGATCATCGCGAGAACGCGTGCGCGTTCTTCGTTCTCGGCGAGCCCGTCTTCAACGATCAGCGACGCTCGAAATTCACATCCCGGGTCGCAATTCGCTCGAGATGCAATTCCGAGCACCGATGATCGGCCGGCTACTTCGCCGGCGCAAAGAGATGATAATTCGATAAATTAATCTCCCCACATGAATCATTGCCCGTTACTCGTCGCGCGTTGCGTGCTGCCTCTCGGGGATCACGTTATACGCGGCCGTATCGCTCGTGCTAGATTGCCGTGTGTTAAAATCCTCTAACAACCATAAATTGGCCAACGAAACCTCATGGCGGCGGCCGCCGCAGCGGTCCCCTAAGACAAAGGATTAGGACCTCTATTCCGCGGCAGGATATAACGCTATAAAGTCATAACATCTCGATCCTTTTTTTATTCGACTTCTGCTCTCTCTCTCTCTCTCTCTCTCTCCGTCTGCCTCTCCATCATTCTTCCTCCTCTTTCCCCTCCTCCTCTCCTCATTCCATCGTTTCCCTCGCTCGCTCTCTCTCTTTCTCTCTCTCTCTCTTTCCCTCGCGAGTACCATCGGTATATTCCACTTGAGTCGTATTGCCCGCGTCACGGCGAGGCAGATGCAAGCGAGCGAAGTTTACATGACTCGGCCATATAACAACAGCCCTATATCATTCGCCGAGAAATATGGGGTCTCTCTCTCTCGTGGCCGGCTGTACGTACACTTAACGCGGCGAATACCGCGAGCAAATCTTCCGCGTAACGTCTCCAAATTGCCCCGATCGGCCGCGAGCGTGCCTCGATATGCGACACCACGAGCACAAAAAAAGGAATTAGCTGTCCATATGATACAATTGAAATTTAGTTGGTACCAGCCATAGTGTTTAGCCGTGGGCGGGGAAAAATTAGCTGAATCAATTGAATTTCAGTCGTATTATATGGACAGCTTATTTTCACCTGTGAGAGCTAATTTTCAACCGTGGCAGCGAATTTTTTTCCTTCCGTGACAGTATCGAACATACCTCGTAGACGAGCGTTTCACATTTGACAGGGATCTTTGTCGACACGGTCGGATCCTTCTTAATCCTACATCTCCCGAACACGGATTCCGTCTCGTATGCATATACGCTCGCATAATTGTGATACAAATTGCTCGTCGTCATCGGCAGTGTCCGCCTGGAAAGCGCACGAAGCGCGCGACACGACTCGGGCAGAGACGACGGTGACGAGGACGACGGCAGCGACGACAGGCGACACGTATAATTTGTACAGTCACCTGCCGAAACGCTAACCTAGCCGCTCGTAAATTAACGATCGTTAGCGCTACTAGCACGAGTACTCGCGCGAATTAATATTCATGAAAGCAACGGAACACAAGTCCGTCGCTTCTCGCGAAATCCCGGTTGATCGCGATTCACGCGATTCCTACGACTGTGGCGTATCGTGGCGAGACCGCTATGGGAATAACAATAACAGGAGTGATATTAATAACGCCGGTAACGACGTACCGGAGGTGGAGAGAGAGAGAGAGAGAGAGAGAGAGAGACGAGATCGATAACCCTGTACCGGAGAGCGGTCGGTCGGGCATTACCATAAATTTGAATGTCCGCGCGCGCATTTCTTCCTCCCCCGTGTCCCCCCGGCCGCCCTCCTCTCCTCTCATTCTCTCTCTCTCTCTCTCCCTCCCTCCCCTCGCCCGCCACCTGCGTACCCCTCGTACGATTCTTCGTGCCCCTCCTCTCGCCGCATTTCCCCGTGACTGCCACCCCTTTTTTACGGCTTACTTTATGGCAAAGACTCAATTTGGCCGCGGCGGGTTGGTGCGCGTTCTCCGGTGACTAATATACCGAGATGCACCGCGTGGGGTGCAGCGGTGATGCATCGCTCGCGATGCCCCACGTACGGCTTCTCTCCCGAGGGAGAGATGGTGCCTCTACGGGACACCTTCGTTTCCAACGCGCGCGTACACGTTTTTACGAATGGCCCCTTACGAGCGTGGCCTTCTCTTTCTCCCTCCCCCTTCTCTCTCTCTCTCTTCCTCTCTCGGCGCTGCTTCGCAAGATCGTTTAATATCCCGGACTCCCTTAACGGCCGCGAAAACGTATACACGGTGTCCGTCTTAACGCGCGACGACCACTGCGCGCGCGCGCGCGCTCCTCTCGATGTGTCGTAATTCTCCGATAGAGTATCGTAGCGGCAGCCAAGTCGAAAAGTCACACCTTTGCAGCGGCTCGCACCTTCGTCTGGAGCGCGTGAAGAAATGATGTAAGCTGCCAATCCACGAACGACGTGGTAATCGCGAAAAACGCGTATTTCGCTCGCCGCTCTCTCGCTTTCCCTCCTGCCATGTCGCGGAAGACGCACGGAGTCGATCCGCAGCCTCGGAGGAAGGACGCATCGTCTGCGACGAACGACGGGCATCTTCACGGACACCACGCGTTCGCGGGACACCGCGTTGGCCACCTCGTCCCCTCCTCTCTCGCCGTGGGACACCGAGCCGCGCTAACTTACGCCGGATTACGGACACTATTTCATCGGAACGCAGAGAACCCTCGGGGGTCCCCGGCCACTGCACGACCTCTTCTTCTTCGGCGACCACCGAGCGCATATCGCCGTATTCAAAACCGCGTCGTTTCCTATGATATAAAGCGATCCGCGAGAGCGCCAGTTTATCGGGGAGAGATTTATTCATTGCGCGTACCACCGCGGCCAGGGGCCGCGATATTATAAATTAATTCGTCCCGCGTTGCTGCCTCGCGCGATTTTCACGGGAATCCCACCGAAGCGTGACGTGACGATAACAACCCGTTTGAAATTAATTGGAACGATTTCAATCGACCGGGATCGTTGCGATTAATTAATCGCAACGTTCCCAAATCGCGACGATTTTAATCGTTATTTCGTATCACATCCAAAGGAAACGCCTCTTCCCGCTTTATACAGAAAAAAATTGGTCTTAAATCAAGAATAGATATTCTCCCATATAAACAAGAATAAAGTAATCTTCTTCTTAGAAGATGTTTAGTTTCGATATGAGGGAATTTGTATTCACACAAGTATCACTTGAGCTCAATTCAAGACTAAAAATCGATGGAAATTATAATAATCTTGCTTAGACATGAAAATATTTATTTTCGATTTGAGACATTTTAGTCATATAATATAATAATTGTAATTAACGTACTAATAATGGCTATCGTGTTACTGTTAACCGTTTTTCCTCTTCTTTTTATCCACAGGTAGCGCGAGGGTTCTACCACCGGCGCGATAAATCGACCACCCCGCGATCTTAAGCACACAGTTCCTGCGAAAGATATTATCGGCGAATTAAGCCCGACCGCAAGCTGCACCCGTGTAAGCTTAAGTCGCTGCATTAGCGTAATTATGATAGCTTCCGGCTGCCGCTGGCGCTCGCCGCAAACCACGAAGAAACGAAGCGGACGCCGGGCGGACGCGCGTTGCGCCGGGGTGCACGGAGTTAATGACAAACCGCGCTCGCTGAAACCGGTTGGTCCGTACGTGACGTCCGCACTGAGGACGTCGCAGGGTGGAGCACCGGATAGAATCGTCGACGAAGCGGGGAATCGACGTGTCGGCGAGCGCCATTGTCTAGAAGTTCCCGCGTGAAAAGACGAAGGCAGAGGAACGGTGGAGGAGGTGCGCGAGTAGAGAGAGTGAAGCTCACGCTGCGCTGGAATGTCCAATTCCCCTGGGGCATGATCCCTCCGCTGGGACACTGTTTTCGGCGGCCGCGCGACGGGAAGCGCGTGAGCGTGTACCTCTTAAGCACCGAGACCGGCGCGAGTGTCACACGCTTAGCGACTTAATTACAATGCGTCGTGAATCATCCGCAAGCTCGTAAGAGTTCGAAGGGTGGTAGGGACACACGAGGCCACCACCTGCGCTGCGCGTGAATCCCTTTACCGTGATCACTCCATTCGGCCTTCGTTTTCTCTTGTTCAGCAGAGGAAAAGCGCTAAAACCGATGCACCGTTTTGTTTAAAGGCTCCGAGAAGTCTTGCGTCGGGTGTGTAAAATTAAAATTTGCGCCCACGGATGCGA